CAATCCACAGTATTTAGCTCTACATCTGTTCTCAGCTCATATCCATTAACATTCCGATGACTATTAACTTGATTCCTTTTGCATGAGATCTTTCTGAATCTTCCCAAAGACCTAGTTTAACAGTTAGTCTTACACGTTAGTGCCCAGGCAGTGTGGGGTTATGTCATGTTGCTGTTTCTGTTATACTCCTACAGGATTGACACACACCCCCCACCCCCATTAAAGTGACCTCTGACCAATCAGTTATTTTACTGGAAAACATTGCCCACAAATGAATGTCCTTCCCAGTCGCAGCAGAAATTCCTATGCTTAGTTCTTCCTGGTGGCAGCTCAGTAATGCTGTACCCTCACACCTGCAAGGTTGTGGGTTTGAATCCCACCTCTTCTGTGTGAGTCTGGAGTTTGTATGTCATCCCTGTCTTGTGTAGTCTTCCTCTGAGTGCTCAATTTTGTTTTTTTCCTGGAATTCAGAGACATGCAGTTATGTGAGCTGGCATTTCCTAATTTCCTTTAGAGTGTGATTGTGTGTGAATGTGCCCTGTAATAGCCTGGCATCCGATCCAGGGCACCACCCTGCTTTATGCCCTGTGCTGCCTGGGGTATCTTCTGTCCCCCTGTGACCGTACCCTAGGTAAACAGCTGGAAGGTAAATTGATAATTTTTTGGTAGATTAGTAAGCAATAATTTAACTCAAACTAGTTTTTCAGTATTCCCATGCTCTGCGGCAGAACTCTGATAACCTGATATTTCTTTGTTGTAGGTCACAATAGATATGAATGTAACGATCACAGTCATATTTGTAATAAACGAACTGGGAGCCAGACCCAAACTAAGCTGACAGGCAGTATCTTAAGAATCTGTGCTTTTCCCGGACCCACAGAGGACTGACTTTCTAATCCATATCCCAATTACTGTCCTTGTTCCCTTGAATCCGAGAAAGCATGCACTCCCAAAAAGCCTCAGAATATGAATGGCTTTCGGTTACTTTGTAACAACCGTCAACATCAATGAAATTATTCCTCTTTTGCTTGACCTATAGGTTAACATGACTGGTTAAGGGCATAGATTCACACTAAAGAGGAACATGGTGGATCTCTCAGGTGCCACCTTGCTTCCATGTGTGTGACCAAGCTTATTCCCACTGCCCAGAACGTGCTAATCAGGAGTCAGTAGCCAGGACCTGATTTCACTCACAACACAGACCCTTGACTGCAGACGGTTCCAGGTAGTTCCCTGGTGCTCAGTCAAACCTGTCGAGCTGCTAATACAATCTTGTCTTCCCAAATAAACGAGAAGTTATTTGCAAATGAAAAATGCTTTGGTTCCCCAGCCATTACGTCAGTTTTCCATAACTAGTTTTTATGAGTATGAAGATGGATAGATGGATGGATGGAGTTAGGGGATGCCCTGGATTATATGACTTCACTGATGTCTTTTTAATCAATCTTTTTCATTTTCCCCTTGCATCCAAAATTAATGGACTAAATAAATTCTGCCCTCTGGAAAAATTCATAACTGCTAAGTTAAAAGCAAGTAAACCATGTACCCAGTCTTTCTCTTTATTAAAAAATATGTCTGTAATTACGTGTTTTGTTGTTAAAAAAAAACAGTTAATATGTGTCAGCATATCATATATCCATCATTCCTGTTACACAGTGACTTTTCTGTCCCTATGATTTACTTACTCATATTTTCTCTAAAATGAGTCACATATTTATAGCATATGGGTTAATTTATATTTAAGTCTTATACAGTATATCACTTAAACAGAGATAATTGGTATTTTTAATGTCTTTTTGTATTTTACATGCATTTTTATTGAAATGTGCATTCAATTTTATCATGTAATCAATAATCAGTAATCAGCTTCCACAAGTACTATGAACCAGCAAATGATAAAAATCCCAAAATATTCTTTAATTATGTTATAGACTAGGCTACCTAGAAGCTAACTGCCTCAAACCATATATAGAAATCCAATGAAACTATGGTTATTTTTTACAATTATCTTCATTTACTATGTGTCCCTAAGTCATCTGCCACTCTGTTAGTATGTATACTTTCTCGTTTTCTTAAAAAAGGGCTACAATTCCTTTGAGACCATTCTCTGGAAATAGCATCTTTTTTTTCAGCGAGAATTGAACTGTGCAAACAGAGGTAAGTTTCAACTATCACTTCTGCCTTTTGTTTTTTTTTTTTTTAGTTTTTGAAACGTTATCTTGCTTGTCACACTCTTAAAGTTCCACCCTGTTAAAATGTTAAAAATCTGACAAAGTTATAAAAGTTCTGTTTCTCTGTAGAAGGTTAGCTGGCTTAATGATGATCTCACTCAAAGAGCAACAGCTAACATACTGATTGTTTTAAAACATTTTTATATACGTGCAGTTCCACACATTTCAGATGGCGAAGCATGCAGGACAAGGAGGGAAACTCATCCACTCTTAGAAACTGTTAATATTGGTGATTCCCTCCACTATGCTGGGAGGTTAGGATCAATTACAGCATGTTTGTGTTTTTGTGCAAATTTTTTGGTATTATTTACCATAACTGTTAGTAAAAATGGGTACAAAAAAAATGGGTACCATTTCTTAATTTTCTCTACATCAATAATTTTTTGTTATTGTTTCAAGAGTAAAATACTTTGATAGCCTAAGAGACATGTACTTCATATATCTATGAAAAGCTCATTATTGTTTAACATTTACATTGTTAAAATTTTGTGGTAACTATGTATATTTCCCTAATAAGGTGGAATATACTTTTTATATTTTGAGTGCCTGAGCGTCACCAACATGTATTCCTAATAGTTATGCATGTGACTCTACTCATAGATTGCTAAAAACATGAAAAATGTTTTTTTTCCAAAAATTCTGTAGCCAAAATGTTACCAGATAACAGTAAAGACTAATATATATGTTGCACTTGGGTATACCATGCAAAAACAGTCTGATCCCCTCAGAACCTTACTAAACGAGTTGTTACTAAGAATGTATGTGTGTATGTATGTTTGATGTTGTTTACCTCTGTGTTCCCATACTTCAGCACACTGTGTGCCTACTTTACCTTGGCTACTATCTCTGAGTGGCAGTCTGTGAACTTATTGAAGTTTACCGCAAGCTGTGACTGCATAACTAACATGGTCTTCACTTCACACTGCAAGCTTAAGGATTCTCACCATCACTAACTCCAAATCACTGCGGTCCATCCTGGAATGATGTCATTGGGCCATGGGCCTTAATATGACTGGAAATTCCAGACTTCATATAAACCAAACGGTGAAATTCGCTCATAAAAAGGGCCACACCCTCAATTTCTGGCTGCTGAAATCCACATTTCCTGTATCCTGCCTCTGGTTCTGTGATTTTGATTCTGTACTTTAGTTGCTCTGCTTTGTGTTTTAGTTCCTGCTCCTTCACCACTGCAGGATTGGTGCACATGGCTCAGGGGCTGCCTGAAGCTCACCAGCAGCCCAGGCAGCCACTGGACAGTCACATGACTCCCAACTATAGACTCTGAGAGACTCTGTTCACTGAGTCAGGTTTCATTAAACACGTGGATTCCATGAGTAAACATAGTGGACTCCCGCAGATTTCCGAAGAATAAAGAAGCTTTGGTTGTGTTAACCCGTGGGGACCAGCACTGCATGATAATATCTGTTACATCAAGAATATCGTGGTGTACAATGTAAAAAGTACAATGTAAAAAGGAATCACTTGTCCTGAGTGGAAAAATATCCAGACACGCATACAGACAGATACACAAACTGTTCTCCAGGGCTACCCTGTGAAAGCACTTACCGGCTGCCATCCTGAACAAGTTCAGATGCTGAAATAACAGATACCCATGTAGACAGATCATATTTGTATTGATTCTGTTACGACTGATCTACACTTAAGGCCGACTCACTCAGAGAGCATAGAAAGCATTTGCCGTAATTTTTGTAACACGATCCCCGGCATCCAGCATTTTATCTAACAGAGTGTTTGTTTCCGAGAGAAAGTGCACGTTAATGATTTGCCTCTTTTCGGGAACACCAATCTCGATTTCTCAGGGGAAAAAGTAAATAAAAACAGAAATACAAAGCTTTCAAAGCAGGAAATAACACATCAAATTATCTTTTTCGGCATAAAGCTTAGTTAAAGATATTTAGTTGTTAAGCAGATGATTTTACCCAAAGGAGTGTACAATTATAGCAAGCAGCTCTCTGGAATTTACAGAAAGTCAGCTTCTCCAAATCCATTTCACTCAGACCTATTGTGTTCACCCTGTGGAATTCAGCAGCAGAGGAACCATATTTTACGCATTTTGCACTTGAACTCTAAGTTCACAGACAGAGTAATGCTTGCCTAGAGAATCAGGAGGAGGAGGAGAAAACAAGAGCAACAAGAGAATAACGGTAGCAAGAGGCTGAGGTGGATAGTCCAGGTCCAGAAAGTAAAAATCCAGACCAAGATTTTGTTACAACCAATTGGTTAAGTATACAGTCAAAGTCAGAGCACTGAACTGGTTGGTTGAAACAAAATGTTGGTTTGGATTTTTACTTTCTGTACTTGAACTATCCACCTCTGGTAAGAGGCATAGAAGAGGTGAGTTTACTCAGTGACCAAGGACTGTATCAAACATGCCACATCACACGGATTCTCTCTATGGGGAAGGTGTACAGAATTTAGGTTACATACATTTTTCTGTTCCTCGGCTCCGTACAAGTGACACCTTGCACATAGACCCCATCCCAAAGAAGTATTCTAACATGATGTTGCACACCCATATTCTACCAGATACACTGAAGCAGCTTTTACATGACACAGTTCCTTAAAAACTCTATATACTGAATAAAGCAGATTATGTTACACTAATTCTTAAAGCACCAGGAATTTTTTATTACAGAAATACAAAAGCAAAAACTGATTAAGAGTCCCTCAGGACATTAGGTCAAAGTATTTAAAGAACACTATGTGGAATTTCACAATGGGTAAGTTTATGATGGCACTGAAACTCACCAGCCAATAAAAGATGCAATAAAGAATGCTGCCGGTCATGGCAGCATGTTCCAGCATGTTCCAGCACATTCCAGCATGTTCCAGCATGTTCCAGCACGTTCCAGCACGTTCCAGCACGTTCCAGCACGTTCCAGCACGTTCCAGCATGTTCCAGCATGTTCCAGCATGTTCCAGCATGTTCGATTACTCGAGCCACGCAGGACAGAGTCTCACTCTCCAGTACAAGGCCTGATCTGGGCTTAGATTATGCACATTAAAGGCTATCAAAAAGCCATTCATCTCCATACTTAGGACAGGTCTTCATAAAATTTACATCAAAAAGAGGATCATCAATGGTAGCCGGGCATTGTGGGAGTGGTGCCTCGTTAACCCCTAAACAGGTCGTCGTTCAGTGGCATGTTAAGAATAAACCTGCTGCTAATGAGCTGTGAAACACAAGCAAGCTGATCGGTATGAGGAGCCCCAATGCAGAGCAGAGGGAGTGAGACGCAGGCTGCAGCAATGAGTATGCATACAAACCCCTGGAGGACCCCTGTAGCACCCCGAACACACTGCAGAACACCCCAGCACAGTAACCAGAGCACTGAACCATCAGGATCATTCCCTGCCTGGCCAGCAGGTGTCGCTGGTCATCCCTTTTGTTTGAGCTATTCATGATTATGACCCTCACCTGTGTTGTTCGCAGCCCTAGTGTTTGTTTGATTGATTGTAATTGGCCCACACCTGTTCCTGCTTACCTTCGCTATTGGTGTATCCATGTGCCTGCCCCTGTCCTTGGTTATTGTGTGTTTGTAGCTGTTGTTGCCGCATGTTTGTTGCTAGTCTCTTTTAGTCTCCGTCTTAGTTTTTAATCATTTACCTGCTTTGTTTTGTCTTTTTGTTTCTTTTTTGAGTTTAATAAAGTCCCTTGTATGTTGGAGCTGTGATGTGGATTGTCTCTTCACCATACCCGTCTGTAATATGAACTGGACAGCAGCTCATCATCAATTAGCAGAATGTGCAGAGGAATGGAAAAGCATTCCATACATAGATCATGTGTGGTACCAGCCATTCAGATTAACTATACCATGCTTGCAGCTGGTGAAACAAGAAAAGTGATAGGCTTGGGTGGTATTTGCTTTTTTATACATCATACCATCCAGACATTATACTGTGCAATAGGGTATTTTGGTGATATTTTCAAAAGCAATGCTGCTGTGGTAATATGAAGTCTAGCCAATTAAAATTCACCAATTTTGGGAGACCTCCACAATAAAATTTGCAGAGCAAAAATGATGTCATAGACAGAGCAGAAATGGGCATGCACAGCTTACCTGTGATGTCACAGACAGAGCAGAAATGGGCATGCACAGCTTACCTGTGATGTCATAGACAGAGCAGAAATGGGCATGCACAGCTCACCTGTGATGTCACAGACAGAGCAGAAATGGGCATGCACAGCTCACCTGTGATGTCACAGACAGAGCAGAAATGGGCATGCACAGCTCATAGATAGATCAGCATGGAGGGTTACAGTTTGAAAGGTTGTAATGAAGCCTAATTGCTGAGAACTCACAGATCACTGCAGTGCTTGTTTGTATGTAGAAGGTTCCCCACTGGAGCCGATGCTGCTGGGTCTGAATAATCTTTGAATAATGTGGAGCCCGAATGCAAACACTGATAAAACAGGCTCGTGTTACTCTGTGTTTCATGCAAATTTTTGACACCTGGCACTGCTTTATGTCAATGGGGAGGGAGTGGCATGTGCTCCTCCTCCGGTGCCCCCCCAGCTCAGATTTTTACAGGCAAAGCTCTAGGGAGCCAAACCACTGATGTCCATAATGATATAGACTCTGGGACAATGACATAGTTGAGACAGACACCTACTGAGGCATAGAAGCATCTCAAGAAATCTGTGGCACAACAAAACTGTTTACTATTAGTTTGTTCTAAGTCAAGACCAGGACGTGTATTTGGGGGATGGTGTGTGGCTCAGTGCCCATGTTTGGATGGTCACTGGTTCAACTCTCATGCCAATGTGTTTTCACGGTCGGGCCCTTGAGCGAGGCCCCTAACCCCAATGGCTCCAGGGACTGGCTGATCCTGCCTTCTCAGTTATACAGCATTTTGGGAAAATATGCTTATGACCCTGTTTATGCCCACGTTATGTTTATATGTAAAAACCTTCCAGAACATGGCATTCTGGGCCTAGGATATGGTGTGGGAATGTCAGGTGGATCAGGATGGTCCCACTTGTTCTGCCACATAGTCTGATTACTGAACGCAGTTTCTGGCAGAGGTGTGAGGTGTTTCTCTTTACGACAATTCTGCATCATGAACATCAGATGTTCCTAGAACACTAGGTAACACCTTACTTGACTGGGCAAAAATAATATAGTATTATACTATTACTTATGGATTAATTAACCACAAACTAAGTCTTAGTTACATACTGGTCTCATGTTAATGCATCATTAATGAATAGTGATTGATGTTTTATCTCAAGCAGTTAATATATTTGTTACTATATCTATTAATTCTGTAAACCTTTGTGAACTACTAAGGAACTACTGAGGTACAAGTAATGAATAACGCAAGTGAAATACTGACATTTCTTCATCATGAATGAATCATGACAGCTTTCATCTCAAGTAGCAACTGTATTTGTTCATGATTTCTATATGATTTGTTATTACAAAGTATTTGTGCCCCTTCAAGTAAAGTGTTACTGAACAGTGTTTCCCAAACTGGTCCTCAGAGATGGTCCACATTTTTGCTCCTTCCCAGCTCCTGGTTGACTGTCTGCAGGTCTCGGAGGATCGGAATGGGAAACACTGTTTTAGAACCATCAGCATCAGCTACAGTCTAGGGCAGGGTTCTTCAAATCTGGACCTCGATTCCAAATCCAGGGCTTGTTTTCAGTTCTCCCAGTTAGTTAGTTTAATAATTACTGATTCTGATTGGTCAGAGGCTTCACACCTGACTGACAGGTAAAGGAAAGCTGGAAAACCAGCAGTGCTCGGACCTCGGGGACCGTGATTTGAATAAGAGGGATATAGGGAGTGAGTGTTGTTTCTTCTGTGTCTAACTAAACATACCATGGCGTGTCAATGGGGAACTATTAGGTGCACGGGTGTGTAGATGTATAGAAAAAGCTAGTATGTGTGGTAAGTTGTGGGATCTATAAGATTCATAATCGGCTACATCGAGAATGTGTAATGTTATGTGTAAGGCAGTCAAAGAAAATGTTCAAGTCTATTTATAAGGGTAGTAAGTGTATATTTGCTCAGAAAAAAACTCAAATTAATGGCAAGATAAAAAATAAGAATTTCTTCTGTTCTCCAAAAAGTTACTTTGCTGGATAGCTAGAAGAACACCTTCAGTTCCCAAACCTCTCCTCCGGGGCACTTCAGCTGTTCCATATGTTCATTAAATTGCACCACCAGCTCAATTAATTAATTAACTTGATTAGTTAACTTAACGAGGTACTGATTAACTAAACCAAGTAGGGTAGCCGTTGGGTCAAAAAATACATTGGTGCAAAAAATACTGGGGCAACTTTAGAAGGTTTCAAAACGGCTAAGCTGACAGATTTGAAGAGACATACTATCATAGTTGTACACGAAACATGAAGATTTTTTGACTGCCTAAGACTTTTGCATGGTACTGTATGTAGGGAGAGTTCAATGAACGATTCAGTCTGTGAAACTGCTTCTTAATGGGGGGAAGGTGAACATCTGCAAAGTTATTGGTGTGTTTCAGAATGGAGTGGGAAGACAATTCATGGCCCAAAAATACAGACAGCAGCCATACTGATGCACTTATGATGCAGGACAGGTGAGGTTATGGAAATGGAAAGATATTGCATTCAGAGGGCCGTGACTCTGGAAACCGTAACTTGATATCATCCCGCATAACCAACGCAAGGGAATCAGACACATAAATGACTATAGGGTTCCTGCCCTGCTAATGACTGTCTTCAAGTGAAGAAAGAAGGTCCGGCCACTGCAGCGTAGCAGAAGCGAGGGTGTGGGGGGGACATGAAGATGCTCCCCACAAAACTCATCCAAACAGGCTAAACTGGAAAAGAGCTAGTGGAAGATCAAGCTTTGAGGAGAATTTGCATAGTGATAATAATGGCTCCTAAACTGAAAGGCATTGGGGGATCTGACCAAATTGACAGCAAAATTGTAGAAATTGGTCTTCTTTTGGCAAAGAAGCATGATACTGCAGAGAGATGTAAACATTTCAGAAAGGGGGCGATGTGAAAGGTTGTGGTACTCAGGTTCAAACAAATTACATCAGAAGAGCATATAATGATGTCAGTGTTCAAAGCCAGTGAGACACAGACACAGTACTGAGACAGACGCAGAGGTGACAGAGAGACTGTAGCGGCAGAGACACAGTACTGAGACAGACACAGAGGTTACAGAGAGACTGTATGGAGACAGACACAGTACTGAGACAGACACAGAGGTGACAGAGAGACTGTAGGGACAGAGACACAGTACTGAGACAGACACAGAGGTGACACAGAGACTGTACGGACTCAGACACAGTACTGAGACAGACACAGAGGTGACACAGAGACTGTATGGACACAGACACAGTACTGAGACAGACACAGAGGTGGCAGAGAGACTGTACGGACACAGACGCAGTACTGAGACAGACACAGAGGTGACACAAAGACTGTAGCGACAGAGACACAGTACTGAGACAGACACAGAGGAGACACAGAGACTGTAGGGACAGAGACACAGTACTGAGACAGACACAGAGGTGACACAGAGACTGTACGGACTCAGACACAGTACTGAGACAGACACAGAGGTGACAGAGAGACTGTAGCGACAGAGACACAGTACTGAGACAGACACAGCAGGTACATTGAACTATGAGAGAGAAAATGTCAAACGATAACCCTCGTGCAGTGATATTAATAGAAGCTCAGTATATTGTTCCTAATGATCAAGCGTAATGTTGAACTGGTGGTACACAGAGAGTGTGGTTCAGATATAGTAACAGACTGGCTGCGCATGATGGGAACAGGGGAACCGCTGGCGTAATCTTTCTGAGGTGGTACGTGGTATAAAAGGTTTGTGAACCACTGCTATACACAGTTTTAGAC